ATGTTATCTTCACTACAGTGTGTTCGATTTTGATACTCTACAACGAGAAAATTTTGTAAGTTCGCTACTTCTACGATTAGGAATCTGAAACCTCTCACACTTCGAGGTCTATAAGTGAGCACTATATTAATATGCATAATCATCATTCATCGTACTAACCCCCCCTCCCTCGTTACCTATCATTGCTGAGTACTATAACATCCCCCCTATCCCTCGGCACCACAGAGCTCCTATCCTGTCCAAGGCCAATATCATCACTCCCCCTCACCAAGCCTATCTCCCCTTTACCACCATCTATGCTTCTAGCTATAGCAGCCACCATACACCTCGGCACACTACTCGACACCAATGCTACGTCATACGCCTGTACAGCTCTATGCACGAATTCGCTCGCCCCTCTCCGAAGCCTCACAAGTAGGGGATAGTCCGAATTGAACCCTTCCACATCGACACGACAGAGTCCACTACTACTACAGGAACGACTTGACAAGCCCCCAGTAATAGAGGACGGCTTCAACGACCATACTGCTATCATATCCATATCGATGACTAGAAGCAAGCGTTGCTCCCTAGGTATACACGCAGTGACGTTACTACCCAAAGCCGCTGGTAACGTTGATAATGTCTAAGGAACAACAGAGAAATCCAAATCCATGCATAGATGATATTGATGAAATATATATTTGCTTTCTTCAACTGATGATTTCCCCAATTGTACAAGTTCACATGCAATTTCGAATAGACACCACCAGGAATTTTATGAAAATTTCCTTAGAATTTTCGTATTGTAACCAACACGTACTTTGCTTAGTGCCAACTTGATATGTGAGTGTGAATAATGCGTGTTTTTTATTCTCGAAATAATGATAGTTTTTTTTTTGTGGGAACAGAATTATACATGTTCGACATGGTACATTATACGACTCACAAGTGAAACGCTCATCAACAGCAGCCTCAACCAGCCAAACAAATAAACACAGCGGAACAATAGTACGTAGTATTAGCTATACTACAGTTTGAAGGTCAAGGAATTCACCATCAAATAATAATGATAGTGAAAGGCATGTCGGTATCATAGCCTGGAAAGGTCACTTATATCACATCACATGTTCATAGCACTACTAATTCGACTTCATCGATTTTAGGAAAAGAGAAGATACTCCTCCATATCAAATTGATAAGCACCGTAGTTGACCATGCGCCTATTTTCCCACACTAAAACTCGCTATACCACTGAGAGGTTCACTCGACTGGTAATAATTTCATGCGCGACTATGTTGGAGTTTCACAGCCCGTGATATGAAAAACACTAGTGGAAAACATATTTCACAAACCAATTTTGCATCAGTTTGTGAAATATGTGAGATAAGATGCATTAGCACTGCATAGCACCAAGTATTACGCCACTCCACGTGAAACGGCTGAGACTCCATTGTATTCATAAAGATTACCAACTCTATGGCAACTCTTGAGAGAACCCCTTCGAAAAGATCCCCTATACTACTACTGCTGCGACTCCTAGTATTTTAGTAATACCACAACTTCTACTACACTTTGAATAATCCGTCTCAACTACAACGCCAAGTGATATCCTCCCACCTTCTACCCGTAATATTACACTCATTATAGACTCCCCTTCATCACCCCTCGGGACCACATCCAAACTCAATATCTCCTGCGCAGTCGTACCCATACAAGCCCTTTGACGAGGCCGCTGACTCGGCAAAGGCCTATTCTCTACATGACGAGTGCCGCTAGGACAGATGGTGGTCATGCTACATACAATCTGACCATACCATCTCGGGGCTCAATTATCAATAACATAACACTCTACGTCGTATCGAGATAGAGATATGACCAACTGTTGTCTTAACAAGATCCATAAGCAACCATCACCGGCCTTCTACTATCATCAGCTATCTCCTCTTCACTACCCTCCCCCCTGTCTACTATTCACAGTGCCTACAGTGCCCATCATAGAGCCTTTGTGATGATAATAATAGCGACAATTATTGACTCTTCCTCGTGCACCTATATCGACGCCCTACACATGCTGATACCAGTATCTCCAGTTGAACCTTTTCACAGCCACTCACCCAATACTCTCGCATTCAAAAATCAACCCAGCCCTTCTGGGAATCAATCTTCTTTTTCAAGCTCGCAAAATGCTAGCGAAAAAAGTGAAACAATTCCAACATGCTTAGTGACTTATGCTACGACGATACCACCTCACATCTAAGTGGGGTCCTATAATAAAGATACCGCCTAGCTGAGTTCGACATACATTGACCTCCCCAGAGCCTTGCCACCCACATGAGATGTATGTCCACTATTGTTACTGACAATAATACTAACCCAACACAGAGGGGCGGCGGCGAGAGACTGAATAAGTAGCAGTAGGAACGACGCTACTACCACCATGCAATGGAGATGCTACTACTCTAATTATCATCATGTCAATGGAATACGAATGTAGGATGCTGGCTACCAACACCACCCAGACCATCAACCAACACTTGCTGCTGCTGCTGCTGCTGGTTGTTGTTGCCTCCCACAGCATCATTCTCATTCTCCTCGACTTCACAGTAACTATTATGAAAATTCACTCAGTTGAGTATGATGAGTGATATAGTAACTTCACCAACACCAAGTCGTCCAACGACCATGTTAATGAATCATAAACTTACCACTGGAGTTTCACACGTTTTACGCGAAGTGGCGTAAAACACGGTGAAAAAGGCGATACTTGCGGTGATATGCTATGGTCGTGAAATATATTTTTCTCTAGTGTTTTTCATAACACAGGTGAAACTCCATTGTACGTTTTATCATTAACTATCGATAAAAACATACACTCCCATACCACCCACTTCTCCAGAATCCTAACGGCTCTTATATAGATATCCTCACTCTCATCCTGTTGTAGGTCCTCAATCTTACTTAGAGCTCCGCATTCCTCGAGAGCCCTACGCCACCACGACATTCAACATAACACCACTCAGTGGACAGTAGCAGCTCTACTGTATGTAGATGTTCGTGGAAGACTCCCTCTTGTCCCCCTCATAGGCTCCCGTTCTGAGTATCCCCTCGAATGCCTCTAATGCTACTTGGACCATCTTACTATCTTTGATGTCCAATATCGAACCTACTTTGCATCTTACCAAGTCGACCCAAGCAGAAGCACGATAAATGAAGTTTCTGATACCGTACTGTAGTTCGCAAGCGCCGGAGAAACATCACATACGCCATACCATAATTTTGCATATAAACAACAAAAGCCCCTACTCCGAATTTTGCCTAATTAACACGAAAAAGGAAAAACAGGAGAGGAAAACTACTCTGATTGGTACGAGACTTCGTATCAACAACCAGAGCGGTGGATTCCCACACGATCCAGCAACGTCGGATTGAGTCATTCATCGGGTACTTATTATGCCCTATCTATCAGAATATGAAATAATAATATATTGAAGTTTCACCGGTGATATGAAAATCACTAGTGAAAAACATATATCACATTCCACTTGGTGAAAGACAATTGTGTTATCGGTCGCGGAATCCTATACGCCTTATGCCTTACCCATCGAGTATTTATGCACTTCACTTTTGAGAAATCAAACTCCATTGACATATATCAACGCTAACCAGGTGTTAAGGATATTAAATACAGATTAGCAATTCCTGGCATTATATAACTACAGTACGCGCCATCTAGAAACGTGCGTACTGGGCGGGCACTTTTTCCTTTCATTTTGACGAATTTCGACCTAATTCTTTCACCATATACCTGTACCAATATGTTTATAAATATATTACTTACATATGGACTTTCATAACTTAATCCTAACTCTCATACTTATACAATATTATGCTATATAATACAGCTATCTTAAGGATCTCCACACAGGTGCCCATACAACTTTGAAAAATATCCCTCCTCAGGGTTTGATGACACTCGGAAAAAAGTGTTAATCCACTTACACCTACAGGGGGAACTTGAAATGAGTCCCCCCCCCCAGAACATTATCCCGGAGTGATTTCGTATCTCTACGTATCGCTCGCCCCCCCAATCCTACTCAGTGTCGCCATAGTCGGGTATTTATCCACAACATATTTGATCTGTTCAGGGCTACCTCCCGAGCATAGGTTACATACAGTCCATACCGCCTCCTTCCTAACATCATAATCAGCACCACCACCAAGGATCTCCACAATAGGCCCCAAGATACCACTATCGATCACCTAATAGCGGAGCGAAGCGATTTATGATTACACATTTTCGACTCTATGAGATGAAGTAATCACTCTAGTTCACGTGAGTTACCTTCTGAATTTGCGTTTGTTGATCAGCACATATGTTGCTAACGGTCCATACCACCTCTTTCCGAACCTGGCCCAGAAGCGACCATACCCCTCCATAGAAGGACAACACTCACTGTCTTGCGAGGGCTTGTTATAAGTTTGAGGAGAGCTGGTAGAACCCCAGCATCAACCTGATACCATTATTATCATCATAGTAAGCTCAACGTATCATCACAACACCAGGAGGACTATGTACGCGGATTGGCCTATGCGTCTATTTGACAAATCGAAAGCTGAACTCCATCCGATTAATATTCTAACTCGGGAGCTCACCTTACCCGAGCAATCACGGAATGATGTACAAGAGACCAACGAACCTCCTTACCACTGCTCCTGTCTGATGAGGGGAACCTGTTGCTATGTTACCAACAGCTCTCAACGCCGGTGTATGGACCTATTCTGTATCCTATAACTCTAAAGATATCTCCAACCTCACCTGTGTACTGTTATGTGCCAATAGCTGCACCATACGTGGTATCATACCACTTTGCAATACTGCCTCTATACGCTCCGTCGGGCCATCGCAGATGTACGATATGGCCCATAAGGCGTCTGCTAGAGCCTCCACATCCTCCAGACCGATCACCTGCAATTCCCATCATAGTAGAGAAGGCGTACACCCCTTACCATAGCCAAGGTGGGCAGAGCTCCTACGATGCGATCAAGGGATGGTACCTCAAGGCACGGATAATGACCGCGCGCCACGAAATTAAGCCTACTGGTTTGCCTCGACAGAAGTTGCTAACAGCCCAAGTACCAAGACGGACTATGTTGATGTTCTTCCCTCCTCTGATGACCGCAAGAAGGGGAGGTAGGACGCCTCGTTCCAGGCAAGCGTCCCGGACAACTACAAGCGATCATACTCACGAAGCCGACTACAACAGATAGAGCAGTGTTGGAGTAGGAATATATGTTCGCTGTGCTCAGCTGCTGAGCTCAGAAGAGTTTCCCTTCACTAATTATACAAGTTTATATACGAATTAGAATAGGAGTGCTCAGAAACCAACAATAACCTCCCAAAATTTCCTCCCAGAATTTTCATATTGTTATCACCGACATATGTAGTTGACCATGTACATATTTCCCCAACCCCACACTGGCATAGAAGTCAAGGTGAATCTCCCTAACTCGGAAAGTGAGGTGAAACTGGTTCACTACCACACAGAAAATAGTTGTCGTTACCACATAGTATCGAGGAGTTTGCCCATCTAGATTTTTATGCTACCAGCCCACGGTCAATTAACAAGCGTGCTCTTGGGGTGGCCTTACCTGCACCGTCACCAGCGATGTTTGCTAGAGCCCAGATGGACTGCTCTTGAAGATCAGTGTCGTCAGAGCTGAGGAGCTCACGGAAGGAATCCACAGCGCCTGAGAATTAACTCATACCACACTTCCCACAAATCCCTGATGAGCAGTACCGAGTTCAATGACTGCCCTGGTCTGTTCAGAGTTGCCACTCGCGACGTTTGTGAGGGCCCAAGCGGCCTCGAATTGCATCTTGCTGATCGATGGATTGTCCAGTAATTGTTTAAAGCGAGGTAGCACCTGAAGGGGGACGACTGGATGACACAGGAGTAGTCAAGAGAGCTTCACTGAAGGCTGACAAACCGATATATGAGAGACGGGGTAGTGAATATCCGAGGTTGCCCCATGCATGATACGGATCATGTCCGGAAGAGGACCACCTACCCCAGCGGCAATAACACCAGCAATAGGTGGGTTATCCTCTTTGCTAAGCATCTTCCTAAAGCTGACCAATGCCTCTAGAGCCGTTGCTGGATCTGTTGACTCCAACTGGGCTACCAGACTTGGGATATCATCTGAATAGTCTACACAGTGCACCGAGGTAACACCAAGTCCCACCTTTGGAGAGGGTAGAGTTGTTGTTGCCTCCCATAGGAGTTGCCTTGCTGCCATCAATATCATCATCCATCTCA